CCAAGTATGCCTCAGTTGAAAAATAGTACAACAGACATTAATATTAATGATGAAATAAATTGCTGTAGCATTATGAATAAAATTTTAATTACAAAAAAAAAATGAAATAGCAGATGTAATCAAAATGACCAATATTATAATTACTGAAATCTATTCTTTCAAAGTCAACATATATTTTCTCTAATTATATAAAGATAATAGAAACATTTACCTATATGCCTTGAATGTATATTTATTATTGGGAAAACAACATATGATATCAAACAATGTTTTGACTTCATCCTTAGCAGTCATTCACAAGTTCAAATAAGGTAGAAAACAGTTTTAAAACTTAAAATCTAAAGTATCACTGCTTTATATTTTTGGCTTGAAAGTCTTCAGTACCGAGGACTGTTCTCTCAAGGGCCCATAATTTATGTTTTACACACATTTATAAAAAAAGTTTGAAAAACAATGCGAATAGGAAAGTAGCTTTAATTTAGTGTGAGTATGCATGTAGATATAAATTTTAAATTCACACTTTATAAATTCTGGGTTGATTGAATATATTTAAGCTTAACTTCGACAATGACTAACAGGATAAAATCCATACTTTGCTGAATACTATAAGTTATTTACCATATATATATATACATAAATCTATTATAAATAGAGTTTACAGAGAAGAATGTAATAGATACCAGTATTAGGAAGTAGTAGTTACACAACATAAATGCAAATACAAACACTGTTATATCTAAAGTAAAAATATTATACACTGAAAATATCAAAATCACATTTAAAAAAGGCTGCATCAATTGGCAAGTAAATTTAATATTTAAGTTGTTGTTATTAAATCTGAGTGGCTACAACTACTAGCATTCTATTGAAAACCGAGAAAACAGATATAGCTCAAACACAGCTGTGTAGTTGCACAAAGAATTAAAGAAAAATATCTTTGAAAGAAGGATTCTAAAATATTGAGTTACAACGTACAACAAGCAGTTTATTTGGAAAACGAAACAATCGTCAAAGCAGATTATGCATTAGTTACGTACTGTAGTTGGATGAATAGTGCAGTAACAGAGATTATAACATACTGAATACGGTAAAATTTTACGAAAAAGTAGTGATAAAACTGATATATAACTGTTATTGTTAGTATGATGGTGAAAGAATGGAAAGTCCTGATAGGTTGCCTAGAAACACAGGTATGAGCTTCTATAGTTAATTTGAATTAAAAGAATTGTGACAAAAATGATTGGTTCATTCAAAAGAATAGAAAATATGGGAACTTGTATTGTGTTTCTAGTATGAAGATACATTTTTTAAGAACCCAGAGATGAGTGAAGACAAACTTGGTCTTCCTAAGTTGTAAAGAAACCCACCCTAATTTCATGCTTTTGTGGAAGCGACTGGGGCAGCGGTTTTATTTCAGACTTTTAATATTGAGATCAAGGTTCAAATGCCTATTGTGTGCATTTTGAAATGGGTTTTAGGGTTTATATGTCATTTATGTAAGCTATTTCAGATGAGGGCATACGTTGATCTCTGATCCATTCTGGTGTTATGAGTGGTAGGCCTATACCGTAGTCACACGAAAAGTACTTCAAATCGGATTTGAATGCAACACTGACTGTTTTATATATACAGATGCTGATAGCACTATATATTTTATATATATAATATTGTATATAATATATACAAAGGTTTGAGGTATGAATCTGATGGAAGGTTTTATTATTCTTATTCCTCTTCTGTCAATGTCATTATCTGGCTTGTAGTTTCTGTGGTTTTTTACCATAAATGCCTAACTATAATTATATATATATACAAATAGTTATATATATAATAACCAAAAGGGCAGCCATTTTTCAAATTCTAAATGTAACAAAAGCAGACCACTTGGTTTTCTTCAACACTCTCTGGGTTAAATGACACTCCATGCAATGTTAATAAAGCCAATATTATTGAGGGCGCTATTCAACAGTGACTGGCTGCAAACATGAGTCTCATTCGGTTCGATTAGTGAGAAAAGGAATCAAGGAAGGGACAAAACAGGAAGAAAAATCACAAACAGACAACAGAGGGGGAATGAGAAATTGGCAGGAGAGCAGCATTGGTTTGTGTTTTAACATTTACTTTGCAGCCATTTTTTTTTTTTTGCTTTGGAGCTCAAATACAATCATTGCAACAAACAATATCCCACAGCAGGAGAAGCAAAAAATAAACATTTAAAAATAAAGAAAATATGAAAAAAAAGTAGCAAATACAAATAAATTGTAGAAAAAAATCAATTAAATTTGCCAAAATATTTACAATTTGTGTCAAAACGACTTGCAAACAAAACTGGGCCCTAAGTTAGTCTTTCTAATTACTTTTTTAGATTCCCTATTAAAGAATTTGTTCCTCATCTTCCTCATGAAATTTTAGTGACTCTACTTCAACTCACTCCCATAATTTTGGTGTCATAATTCCGACATCCATAATTGTACCTACACCTCACTTGGATAATTTATTTTATTTCCTTACAAGGAAACACGTAAGCCAAAATCTAAACAGTTCTTCGTAGTAAAGATTCTGATGGTATTTTAGCAGCTGCAACAGAAAAAGGCTCGCAGGAATTATGCTCCACATTATGTTAGGTGTGTATAAGTAAGTTTGTGTGTGCATATCTCTGTTTGAAGTGTTCTCGTCAGGAATATATATTATTATTTGTAACACTAATGATGTTTGCTTCCTTGTATCAACATATTCAAAAAGCTGATTGTCTTTCAACACAGAGCTTTAATTATTATTATTATTATTATTTAATATGTGCTTTAAGTTTTCTGTTTTGGATGTAAAATTCTGAAATAAATGATGAAAGTTGCCATCCACAATAAGATGACCAAACTATGACAGAAAGCTTCCAGTGTGTAGGTGCGATTGTAGTGTAGTTAGTTAAACATGAAATGCACACAAAATTTTTGGATATCCTATGGAAGTCAAAGTACACATGTTGTAGCGTGGACAATTTCCAACACTTTCTGGTAACAAAAACTGTTGGGAAGAATGAAGAAACGTTTGCAGCCAGTCAAAATATGTTGTAAATGCAGAAAAACAAGTGAGAAAAAACTATACAAATGTTGTACACATTGTTTTCTAAATATAAGATGTGTTAAAAGCCTACAACAGAAAATACAGCTAGTCAAGACGTGCCCGATGAACTTTACCCTTTGCTCCAAGGTCGGTTATCGGATTGGATATCGGCACTTTGGAGCCGAGTTCAGAGATCTGTTCCGAGAATGGGAGCTTGATGCTTGGACCCGCGGACCAAACACTGCTAATAGCCTTCGACAGGCCAGTAAACATAGAAGAAACCTCTTTGCCCACGTCCGCCTGAGTTGGGTCTTGTTGCGCTGTATTTAGTGGATTCCCGCCCAACTTCTGGGTAACGTCAAACAGAGAATCTAAAGCAACCAAATTCAGTAAGTAACTGCTCTAAACTAAAGCTCATTATAGTGTGCATAATAAAAATCATAATTGAAAAAAAAAAAAAACAATATTACAGGTATTGTGATACCTACTTTCATCTCAACCTACTACATATTAGTATTCATAATAAATATAATCATAAAAATACCCACAGTAATACCTACTTTTACGTTGGCCTACTACAGATACTCTAAAGCTCTTCGCTTTCAATACAGGTTCGTATATTTATTACTAGTAAGATTGCAAATTAGTTCTTTTATCCAATAAGTACATAGAATGTGTATACCATTACTGACGATTGTCAGAGAGTACAGTAACAACATTTGAAGATTGTCATAATTTGTAGCATCCAGGGCTAATATGATAACAAATAATTTTGATTCACTTTGATAATTACTTTTAAATAACTTTCTTGCTTTTTGACCTCCTTTGATAAATTGATTAAAACTTTTTAAATTTAGAAAACATAAATTTAACAGTTAGTATTAAAATTCAAATATGCATTTACAAAATACCATAGTTAACTTTGGTACATTTAATTAATGGTAGTAGTCAATAATTATTCATGTTATTATTTATACACTTGTTTCTATATCCCTATTCTGTATTATTTACGATTTCTTTAATAATTTACTACTTTATATGCCTGTATATTTTTGGGTAGATTATAAGACACTTAATGATGTTATGACACGTGTATTATATCCCTCAAGAAGATTTGTCTGATGTTTATTATATGTATGAGTCTGTAATTGATATTGTTTTCTATTGATCACTTAAACAGCAAATTGATGCTGTTTATACAAATAATATGTACTTACTTAATCCAGACCTCTGATTAGGTGGTTGGTCAGGTTTACCCTGCAGAGGTGGATAGCCTGATCTCTGATTGGATGTCAGGTCAGGTTTTCCTTGTGATGGTGCATATCCTGATCTCTGATTGGCTGACTGGTCAGGTGGACTTTGTTGTGATGTGTAGCCTGACCTCTGACTGGACATCGGGTCAGGTTTACCTTGTGGCGGTGGATATCCTGATCTCTGATTGGTTGTTGGGTCAGGTTTACCCTGTGATGGATGATAGCTTTGGCCTGCTTGAGTGTATGGCATTTGACCTTGATTTAATGGAGGCACTTGGTGTGGCAGTTGTGATTGGTTCGTCGGCCGCCCTTGTCGAGACATGCTACCACGATCCTGATCCTGCGCGTGGTTAGGTATTCCGTGCTGCTTATCCTCAACCCTATGGCCCTCACTACCAGCGCTATTCCTGCGAGGTCGTTGGGGTAAATCCCTGGCATGGCCCCTATAACTAGGTAGATCCCTATATGAGCCATGTCCAGATAAGCGATTATCTTGTCCAGGAATATTGTCCCTATCCATCTGTGAAGATATATCCCGGCTGCCAGAGGGATCCCTGTGAGGATCCCTGGGCATCTGACGCTGCTGTTGTTGCTGCTGCTGTTGTATGTCCCGTGGGTGTTTGCCATGTGGCATAGGATAGTGGTTCGTTGGGTCACTGCTGTGCTGTGATGTCATATCCCTTGGGTGATTTCCGTGAGTCACCTTGGAATAGTGGTTTGCAGGATCATTACTAAATTTTTCCACTGATGGAAGATGCCTGTGTTGGCTCTGCGGTCTGTAGCTTTCGTCTTGGGGATAGTGATCCGGTGGAGCACCTTGAGGGCCAGTATTGGGGTAGGGATTTGCATAGCCTGGGCCCCCAGAGTTGGTTCTTCTAACAGGTCCACCACCTGAAAGAAATATTAAAATAAAAATTAATAATTGAATCAATAATATATACACAATGAAAAAAATTTGTATCCAGTTGAAACAGCTCGCTAAATGTGCATACGGTAGTACCACTGATTCCAGAGGGTAAATTATTCATCCCAATGCAGAAGGTAATTCTTCTCCTGAAAGCCAGACCAATCATCAGACCATGTCATTCAGATAACACATCCAGATGTGAACAACACAACTCATAATGAAAAATAATTTCATCTTTAATTTCTTGTTTTTCTGTCATACTACTAAAATAAAAAGATCAGATTTTATTGTAACACAAAGCTGGTGATATTACTGAATATACTAAAATAAAAAGAAATAAAAACATAGATTAAAAACTAATTTTAAAAAAAAGATATCTACATTCTACCTACCGTACTCCATTGGATAGGTATTCACTCTGGAATCTGAGTCTCGTGAACTTCTTCTAGAGTCTTGGACATGAGCGGGTTGTTCTGGTGGGATTGGAGAAGGTTGCGGAAGTGGTCCATGGGAGACATCGGGGAGAGACAATGGATACCAATGAGGTTCATTGTCAAAGATGGCAGTATTCAAATTAATTAAAACCTAAAAATGACAACAAAAAAAACATTATAAAGTGTTAATCATATTTATAGTAATTCCAAGAGCACTAAGGTAAAATAGAAATTAATAAGTTATAATTATAATAACAAATATTGAAGTAATTTTGGTTTTTATTGCAGGTTTGTCGATTAAACTGTAGGACTGTGGGTTTTACTATGGTTAACCTGCAGAACTGTTTCTAGCTATTAGACGATATTTGTCCTTTTTAACATGGTGCCTTGCCTCTGTAAAAAGCAGTGTGTCCACTGAATTAGAGTTTACCCTCATTAAAGATGTCAGTAAATAAATAAACTTGCAATTGTATAATTCTTATACTATGCAATCTACAAAATCAATAATACACAAAATATGGATGTTATGCAGATCTGTGAGTTTTTGTCCATGGAACTGTAGGTCTGGGGATGGGGTTTGTCTATTGAACTGTGGATTTGTATATTCAAATAATTCAATTCAATTGTTTAATACTACAAGATCCATCAAGGGCAATTATCTGCAATCACAAATTCACAAAAAAAAAATCAAAATAACAATGAAAATAAAAAACACCATCCTCTTAAGGTAGTAAAATTAATGAAACTAAGAAATTAAGAGCTGCCTTAACGTTTGAAGGGGTGATATTAGCGGGATCAAGGACCAGGTCATAAGCGAGACCAAGAGCATATGGCAAGAATGATGAATGAAGACGGGAGGTATGAGCAGGGAAGGGAATAAAGGAAGAATGGCGAGAATAACGAAATGAAGTAGAGCATGAACGACACTGGGAGAGACAATCGTGTAATGGGTGATCTGGGTCCAGAACAATTTTTGAAAAAAAAGGAATGATGAAGAATTACAGCCTGGATTCAAAAGGAATAATATTGAATTTAGGATGGAAATTGAATTGTGGATGTGGATCAGTAGGTTTGTATATTGGACTATTGTTCTGGTTTGTTGAACTTCGGGTCTGTAGGTTAGCATATTAAACTGCGGATCAGTGGGTTTGTCTATTGAACTGTGGGTCTGTGTATAGTCTATTAAACAGTGGGTCTGTGGGTTTGCCAAATGAACTGTGGGTCTGTGTTAGCCTAGTAAACAGTGGATCTGTGGGTAGCATATTAAACTGCTGATCAGTGGGTTTGTCTATTGAACTGTGGGTCTGTGTATAGTCTATTAAACAGTGGGCCTGTGGGTTTGCCAAATGAACTCTGGGTCTGTGTTAGCCTATTAAACAGTGGATCTGTGGGTCGCCTATTAAACTGCGGATCAGTGGATTTGTTTATTGAACTGTGGGTCTGTCTTTGCCTATTAAACAGTGGGTCTGTGGGTTTGCAAATTGAACTGTGCGTCTGTGTGTTTGTCTATTGAACTGTGGATCAGTGGGTTTGCCTATTAAACTGTGGGTCTGTGGATCTGCCTATGGAACTGTGGGTTTGTGGATTTGTCTATTGAACTGTGTATCAGTGGGTTTGTCTATTGGAAGTGGATCAGTGGGTTTGTCTATTGGTTTGCATATTAAACTATTGGTCTGTGGGTTTTTCAATTGAATTGTGGGTTTTGGGTTTACCTACTGAACTGTGGATTAGTGGGTTTGTCTATTGAACTGTAGGTTTGCCAATTAATGCTGGCTTTGTGGATTTGTCTACTGAACTGACACATAGTTTCTTCAACTATGGGTCTGTTTGTCTATTTGAATGTGGGTTTGTATACTAAACTGTGGGTCAGCCAGTTATAAATAAGATTTTATCGTTCAATTGTTTCAGTTGTATGTCTTACTTGACCAATTAATTCTTTCGCTGTCTGGTTCGAATCCCAAACAGTCATTTCTAATGTACGCATCTTCATGTCAGTGGGTCGTACTGGACTATAAATAAACTGTTGGTTCCACTTGGGATCACACATCTTATGAAAAATCTGAGTTTTTCTTTTACTCGTCTCTCTGTAAAATTCAAAGTATAAAGAAATAAGAACATGGGTAAGTAGAATGAAATATCCTTTTTAATTTTTTGATAACTTTTGTGAATAGAAAGCTTCTGTATAAAAAATGTATAGCAAACCAACAACAAGGGCATTGGTCTAATAATCTGGCACTGTTTAAGCATTTTACATAATGTGTACATAAATTAAAAGTCAAAATATTGAAAAACAACAATGCTGTAGGAAAATATGGCTGGATCTTGGTAGATCTACAAATTACCGTCTGTTTGGTAGCAAATACATCTTGACGTATGGATAGCGAGCTTCTTTGTTCTCTCGAGGAGGTAAATTTTGAGCTGATAATATTGTAACGATTACATCTAAGTTTTGAACATCGTAGGCCAGTTTAACCTGCAAGCAGGGAAAAAATGCATACATTCATCACACCCTTATAAATATCAAATTTGCCGTCTTTTTTTAATTCTTTTTTCTAGTCTCTCTGATATAATTAAGCCCACGCTCCTTGAACACAAAATTGTGCCATTTTTTGGTGGTGGGTATTTACCAGGGGAATCCTCTTTTCAATGAAGGGGCAATTTCCAGAACTGCATGCCTAATTCAAAGCCAATCTTTGGAAATGTCAGCTAAGCTACTTATTCAAATCATACCTTGGATTTGGAAGGAGAAGCCTGTATGTAAATGTGTATAAGAGACAGGTGTTAGCCTTAACCATGAGGTGGGCTTACTACTACAGTACTGTGGTTGTAAATATTTTTTTGATTGTATTTGAATATCTAGTTGTTTTAAACTAGGAGGTGGTGGAGTACATTTATGATGACCAATGTTCTCGGCCAAACATTGATAGGAACTAAATGATGGGGGTGGAGGAAATAGTAATCATATCAACAGAATCTATCAAAAACTCACCCACTCTTGAGTAAAATATGCACACACAGTGGGTGGAATACCATACCGAGTACCTGTCTCTTATACACATCTAGATGTGTATAAGAGACAGGTGATACCCAGGTTATTGGTAAATGTTCAGAAATGGAAGTTCCAGGCTCTAACAATCTTAATTTGATAATGAAAAAAATTAATGCATTAACAAATTTTTTACATTATTTCTGTCGAAGTCAAATGAAAACTATTGAAATTAGAGGGATATATTTAAAAAGGGCAGATTTTCTTCTAATATTATAATGCATGCAATGCCTGTAAAATTGCAAATGTAGGCTTTGATTTTAAGCTTGATTTCCACCTCCCCCATCAACATATAAGAATGTGGGTATCATATTATGATAATAATAATATACTTCACAAATCATGACTCACATCGTTTTTGATACCAAAATTGGCAATACAACTGTTTAACATTAACTATTGCAAAAATTTGTCCATTAACAGCTTTGGACACAAAAGCATTTCTATTTTTGCACTTGTACCGCAGTACTCCACATTCTAATTTTCTTTAACACTTATTTCTGTTGCTTAAACACCTGTCTCTTATACACATCTAGATGTGTATAAGAGACAGCTCTGATATAATTAAGCCCACGCTCCTTGAACACAAAATTGTGCCATTTTTTGGGTATTTACCAGGGGAATCCTCTTTTCAATGAAGGGGCAATTTCCAGAACTGCATGCCTAATTCAAAGCCAATCTTTGCAAATGTCAGCTAAGCTACTTATTCAAATCATACCTTGGATTTGGAAGGAGAAGCCTGTACGTAAACACTGGTGGGGGGGGGGGGGGATGGGGGCGGGATGTGGGCTTAACCATGAGGTGGGCTTACTACTACAGTACTGTGGTTGTAAAGATTTTTTTGGTTGTATTTGAATATCTAGTTGTTTTAAACTAGGAGGTGGTGCATTTTTTATTGGTCATCATTTATGATGACCAATGTTCTCGGCCAAACATTGATAGGAACTAAATGATGGGGGTGGAGGAAATAGTAATCATATCAAGAGAATCTATCAAAAACTCACCCACTCTTGAGTAAAATATGCACACACAGTGGGTGGAATACCATACCGAGTACCGAGTGGAATTGACCAATGAAATGTTGTTATTACTTAATAAATATCTACGAGGTAGAGTACAAATGTGGCAAGCTGGTTTGTATATTCAATTACCAAGAGAAAAGACAAAATACTTCAAGCAAGTGTATAAAACCAGTAAATATATTTTTAGTAGTATTTTTTTATTGTTTTTGTCAAATTTTTGTACCGGTAGGTTTTTCTTTTATTTGTGCAAGATATGGCCTAATGCAACAAACCTCCTGTGTGAAAAAGTTGTTATTGTGAAACAAAGATTTTATATTATTAATTGTAATACATCATGTGTATTATACAGAATGCAAATGAATTGAACTCAAAAAAAGTTTTGATATTTGTATGTATCATGTATGCAGTAAGCTGGCATTTTGTCCATGTTGTCGCTATCCACCAAGAAGTATGACTAGGTGCGAATGTGCATACCTGGTGGGTTGCAATGCCAATGCATGATTATTAGCTGCAACACACTGAAATACTCCACCCAGGGAACTGAGCATAATGTTCCATAGGTGTTGATTCAACTAAGGAAGGAAGGGAGAGCGGAGTTTTTAGGTGAGGCACAAATCTTTCTAGCCATTATAAAGCAGATATATTATTTTTTTTTTATTTCTCTGACCATATAGAGGATTTTGTACACATGCGGTGAAAAACCCCAATGAACCTTCACCATCAAGGTTGTTAGCAATTCCGATGCAACTTGGGAAAAATTTTGATGCTCGTAAGCGCATCAAGAAAATGCCCACAAGAAGCACCTGTGAAAATAATTATTGAAATCACCAGAGGAATTAAATTGCCTTTTATTGAAAATAGGCAAAAATGTGTTGAGACATCAAAGTGAGAAATCTTGTGCCCAGATTGATTACATAGTAATTGGTTTGCACACCTGAGCCAGAATATATCAAGCCCTATCATTCACCGAAACCATCTTCGAAAACTGAACTTACCCGGTTCATTAATCGCTATACATTATCAAAAAAGATTAACAACTATACAATCAAATTAAAGATTTCATATTGTGTAAAGTGATATATTAGTCCATTGCCAAATTACTGTATTAAATCTTGAGATGAATTAGCAAGTACGAAGCAATAGGAATTAACTTCAAATTAGTGTCATATTGAGTATACGTGATATTTTTTTTAAAATAAATTTCATATTTATTTAATTCACTTTTAACTTATTTTGATTTTTACAATCAAAATAATTGTGTTCATTACTTTGAATATAGAAAATAATTATTTAAAATATTATTAATAAGCAATCATTAAAAGAAAAAATAAGCTCCATAAATAAAGTTGGTCCCAAATGATCATCTTTGATGAATGGTTCATTCTCATTTCATGTACAAAAATTTATATTTCAAATTGGTCAGGGAATCAGAGTTTTTGAAGCCACTGACCACTACATAGTCTTACTTCAGGAAGTTTAGTGTGGTTAGGTTAGTGGTGGGTGGTGGGGGGATGGAAAAGGGTAGGGGGAAATGGCATGACTGTAATGACGTAAGAATTTACTTTGGATATTCCATTTACTAGGTTTGTATCATATCATACATAGCTCAATACCCAGGTTATTGGTAAATGTTCAGAAATGGAAGTTCCAGGCTCTAACAATCTTAATTTGATAATGAAAAAAATTAATGCATTAACAAATTTTTTACATTATTTCTGTCGAAGTCAAATGAAAACTATTGAAATTAGAGGGATATATTTAAAAAGGGCAGATTTTCTTCTAATATTATAATGCATGCAATGCCTGTAAAATTGCAAATGTAGGCTTTGATTTTAAGCTTGATTTCCACCTCCCCCATCAACATATAAGAATGTGGGTATCATATTATGATAATAATAATATACTTCACAAATCATGACTCACATCGTTTTTGATACCAAAATTGGCAATACAACTGTTTAACATTAACTATTGCAAAAATTTGTCCATTAACAGCTTTGGACACAAAAGCATTTCTATTTTTGCACTTGTACCGCAGTACTCCACATTCTAATTTTCTTTAACACTTATTTCTGTTGCTTAAACACAGCATTGATGCTATGCAACATTAAAGTCTTATAATCTTGTAATACCAGAATATAGCAAATGTTTCATACTTGGAGATTACTATGTTTCAACGTCAAAGATTTTTGCATTTGTTTTAAGTCTCATAGAAGTTTGTTCCAAACATTGGTGCATGAGTTAAGACATGTAGTTTGAAAATGTTGTTGGGAAGTACCATTGATAAATAAATTTTAACATGATTCAAATTAAATATCAAAATTGTCTATCAATTAAATCAGGGGAACCTACCTGTAGGTCTCCATATGGTGATGCGCTTGTGAGCTGCGTACTGCTAGGACTTCCCGGAGATGTTACAGTCACAGAAGGCCGTTTGATTGGTTGACTGGGTTCTTCTCTGCTACTGCGAGTAGCAGAATCATATCCACTGCCTACAAGTCACATCAAATGAATTTTTAAAGCAAATTTTAGCCAATTGTTGACTGTGCGAATGTAATAAGTATTTTATAATAAAATATATGCTTAAAGATGTTTCTATCAACAAGATATGTATCACATGATAAAGACTTATTATTTTCAAGATGTCCTTCACCACAATTATGCACTTCTTATGTACTATCAAGTGGATGGTTTGATAGATGAATGGATGGATGCATGGATGCATAGATTGATGGATGAATGGATGATGGATGAATCAATGAATTGATGGATGCATTGATGGATGGATGGATGAATGAATAGAGGATGAATAACTAGATGGATGGATGGATGGATGAATGAATGAATAGATGGATGGATGGATTGATGTATATTATATTCTTACACATTATAGCAAACTTTTTGTTGGTACTCCACAAATCTATGGTCAAGTAGGTTCTGTACAAATTGTCTCCAAAACTTAAACACCTTACTACTACAGTATATATTAGACCCTTAAAATGTTTTTTGTTGGTAGATTTCCAGAGCACTCATAATGAGTGTAATTAGAAATATCTTGAATATTTTACATCTAGGAACTGTTTTTGAGAGAATCCTGTAGAGGTCTGATGGATAAGTATAATTAGCAATTATTTGAAACGTTTACTCTAGGATCATAAAAAGAAACTCGCATATCTACGTAGAGCAGCATTACACTTTTATGATAGAAATGAGAGTAAAACGACATCAGGAAACAGCACCCCAAGCTTTAAGCAAATTAATTTTGGATGGATTCATCTTAGAAGAATTGAAATTAAGATTCGCAATGTCAACAGTTTCAAACATACAGTAATGTTATAAGTCATTGGGAGTGGTGGACTAATGTCAACAAAGCAATCGTCTAGGCAATTTATAAAATGTCAATCAAATGGCACCATGGCAACTACTAATGTAATCAAACTGAAATGGATTTATTAATTAAATTTCTATCTAATCACTCTCCTTATTTTATATCATGAAAAACAGTTTCATAAATTTTATAAATTTTTGTTCATATGCTCAAATACCATTCTGAAAGTTTAACCAACCACATGAATGTCAAAAATTTCACTGAAATTTAACATAAAAATTCTAGATATAACAGATTTGTAGCCCGGTGGATTTCCTGACTTTTTGAAGCCTCAGTCTTTATAGACTCTCTGTTAAGTCCAGTCCAGTAGGCTTACACTTGTTTGTATTTTAAGGCGACTCCCCAATCTTTAACCAAACTTTGGTTCAAGGGACTTTATATATACCCAAGAAACTATGTTAAACAAAAGCGAAATTAAAGCTACGCCCTTGTACGGTTAATGAGAAACAGATTTTTGAATACTTTAAAACTGGGGTAAAAAGAGTGTAACCCCTTTTTTCCCGCCAGTTTTCAAATATTCAAAAATCTGTTTTTCATTAACTGTAAAAGAGTTTTTCGTCAAACACCTTTTTTGTGTTTTAGAAAAATCAATTGTATAACGTATCAAAAAAATGTTTCCCTCAAGAGCCTGGCTTTAAAATGAAATTCTGATAAGTCATATCAAAATCACACACATTCTAACATTAAATGGCGGTCTCAGTGGATGTTTACATTTCAAAAAGATACATGCATGATGATTACAAGCTCAAAAAAAATATAACAATGTGAATAGCTTAAACAAAAACAACAAACAAAAAAATCATCATTCATACCATATATGGTTTCTAGAGGTTCAAATAATCTTGAGTTTAAAATATTTTTGTGATAAACTAAAAAGAAAAGGAAAACATAAAAGAAAAAAATGAGCATGCGGTGAGTGAAAAGTGAGTAAACATGTGAATTGTGGAAGATTATATTTTAAACCACCAAATGGTGGTTTGAATTAAGTAATAATAATAATAATAAATAATTCTTTATTTGTCCTCGTATATGTATGCCTACACACTGGGAAATTTGGGCTGGGTCCCCGGGGACCCGTGGCTGCCATAGCTCGGAGCCAACTACCCCACTTACTCTACAACATCAAACGGATACAGACTAATACATACATGGTCCTTTACTCGCCTAACTCTCCTGAGAGGGTTATTCGAGGAGCTGAGCGTTTTTGTTATTATAAAAGACCTGAATTCAATACTCGATGCAGAGCCGGGTATCAAACCCGGGCCCTGGCGTGCAAGAGGCAGGAACCATACCAATTAGCCAAACGTTCAGCTAGTAACTTTGTATTTTTGTTCACAATACCACATTAGGTAAATACAAACTCTTAATATTTTGATTTTACCCCCTGTACAAATATCATTTATATCCTTAACTTTACTACCAGTAATGTTTTTTTTTTTCTAATTTATTCATTTTCTAGACTTCAACTAGCGTTTCCCTGGAATATGGAGAGAAATGTTGAGAAAACATCTCGGAAGATTCAGGTAATAATACATTCTTACCTGAATCTCAAAATATTCAGGTAAGAATATATTAACGAGCCGAGTGGCCGAACGGTAAGGCAGGGGTGCCGCTCGCTACAGCCTTAGAGATTGCCAAGAAAGCTGAACGGTAGACAATCAGAAATGGACATGTTAAACTACCAACAAAGTGTGGTTAGCAGAACATGAAACCTTTGAGCAAGAGTCACGATGATGTAGAAAATTTGTAACAAAGAGAAGTTTGCAGAACATCATTTATGAAGATTTATGGCAAAAAGCTGATTGGCAACAAAGAGTGGGTAGCAGGACATCCTTTATGACATTAGAATGATGGGGCAAACTGTCAACAAGTGGTTAGCAAAAATTTTTTTTATGAAGAGTGACAGAAATTAAAATATGAAAGAAATTGTGGAAAGATGATCAACAGACGGTCAATGACCTGCATCCCTCGCGATCAACTCAATCCATACAATATCTGCACCAGAGGTCACGACAAGAGACTCATTATACCAAAAACTCATACAACATTAAGCAAGTGCCCGTTCTTCCCAGACTCCATCCGTCTGTGGAATAGCCTACCTCAACAAGTTGTTGATTCAACATCTATCGACACATTCAAGGACAGTGTATCAAATATTTCACATCTGTTAATTTTCTCAAGTGAACAAAATTGACTACCAGCGCTGAGCGAATATATATACTCTACGAGGTTTATGCACATTACAGGATGATGATGATGATGATGATGGTGATGATGATGATGAACAGAATAAAGGTTGGCATAAACTCTACTGAAGAAATAAAGCAGAACTGGTGGACAAAATGTTAACAGATCGTTGTCATAAAGACTTTCTACAGCAAAGACTGGTTATTATTTAGATATGTACTGTACTGTAGGCCATTTGGAACTGGGTTTTTAGAACTGATAAAATAGTTCACATTTCTGAAAGGCGTACTAAAGATCATGATAGTTTAATAATCATAAATGCCATTGCATATGGGCCATATTGGATCAGCCCTCACTGAAAAAAATATCCTTAAAATATCAAAGGGAGTTTGATATGTCAAATATAAGGAAGTTTTTAACATAAAATAATCCTGTCATAACAATTAACACATTGTAAAATTTGAAGAACTGAGCAAAGCATAGAGGAGAAATGCTTAAATTTATGACATATTTGGGTTACAACTTGCTAAATGCTGAAAACTCATAATGTCAGATTATAGGTGTCAATATAGAGATATATTTAGTTCTTCTAAATGTTGTATTTTCTAATAGCCGTATTTGAGGCTGAATTTAATATAGGGATCTTTACAAAAATCACCAGAATTGTTGTCAATTCTTCTACCCATTAAAATACTCCATGATTTCAGTGGTAAATTAAGAGTTCTCAGATGATCCCTGATAGATCTAACTCTGCACTTTGGATATAACAATTGATGAGTTCCACTCATATTCATTACTGAATGGATACAAATTATGTTAATGATTTCTGCACTCAGCTGAATATTCATAAGAACCTCATTGAAATTCCTTGATAAAGCAGACAGTGAGTTTACCAGTATTGGTACTACAAATACACTATAAAAAAAAAACTACAGAATTAATAAATTTGGCAAGCCATAAAAAATGGTTCATTTAAATATTTCATTTTCATGTTCAAATACAACTGTTTGTACAATATCCAAAAAATATTACAGTACTCAAGCACTGCACGAACATAAAATGCTAATGAACATATATACATACTAATGTGCATGCATTGTGTAAAACCGTGTGACAATACAACATGCTTAGTAACATCAATAATTAAAAGCAAAAACAAGATCTTAGCAAAATATAGACATAATGGGAATTAAACACACGGTAATCAACAAAATAGTTTTTGAAAGAACAACACAGTTTGGCAAACACAGATAACTGCTGACATAAAACGTAAAATTTAAGCAAAATATTTTGAGAATTCCCAAATTATGTACAAATATCATTTTTATTACCAAATTTGATCAATTTCAAAATATAAATATTACATGTGTTGTGTATGATTTTACTATAATTGATTAAATTTGACAATTGATTATTAATTTGATTAAAATTGACTGCAACTGATTTAATTTGATAGAATTTGACTAAAATTTGAATAAACATTATTAAACGTTCCTGAATTTGATTATTTTTTCAAGTTCAAGTTCAAGTATATACTTATTTCACAAAATATATATAAACACAATAAATTTTAAATGAAAATAGATTATTGTGAAAAAGGTACCCCACAGTAAGCAAGCTTTAATTGTGGGTCCTGAACATAAGAATGTGTCCAATAAATAAATCTTGATTCAAAAAGATGACAAATCAAAATATATAGTATAATAAAATCAATCAAATAGGTTCTTTTATAAGTCAGCATACTCTATTTTACTCTATATATACTTTTATATTTGTATTATTAGATAAGTAGACCTACTTACATATTTCAATTAAATTAAATAAATTCTATTGTACCTTATTTTACACTATTATATATTATATATATATATATTATATTCTTTGTTGTATTTACTGTTACTGTATGTACAAACAGTATAGTTTACATTATATTTTTAATTTTATATACATATATTATGTATGTTTTTGGAGTATATTTAGCCAGAAGTATAAATCTAATTGAATAAAGGAAACCAAACAACCATAAATGTGGTCACTTAGGTGTGTAGTCAATACTATGATATTTTAAGATGATAGGTACAAAAATAAATCTACAAACGCAGTGCTAATTTGCAATATTCACAAATATGCCACTAAAATGTAAATGAAAAAAAAAACATCAACACGTGCAACATACTGTACAGTGAGAAAAAACTCACTTTGACTAGAACGCTTGCTCATAATATCAGGCCTGGACCTGATTTGGTGACTCTTCTCCGAAGCTGAACGCCCATCGCTCCTGAATTGCATGAAAATGTCAGGGGTCACAAGTTAGAATGGCAAGCACTAATAATACGCACGTCAATTCACCAGTTTATATTAAATGCTGTGATTCCCATGAACAATAACTCAGTCTCCAAAATAAAATTGGTTAAAAAAAAATATTGATGGTAATGATTAGCTAAACACTTTCATCTCAAGTCCATTATCTATATGGAGGAAAAGGGCAAATTAAAACTAATAGCACCAATACTAAGTAAACAAAAAGTGATTTCATGTGAGCCCATATTAGTCTTGAAATTAATGCTACAGTAAATATGTAAACATCAACATACGTCAATCCAATCCAACTGTTATGTGTACTCATTAATTATGTAAATCAATAACATATATACAATATTTTTAATTAGAGTAATTCTGAGTAATTTATTGAAAGTTAAAACATATGCAGCACAATAAATATATATCATCAATAATGATCAATCAATTAGCGCATTTGAGCTTACAACTCCAAGTAAAGCAGTCATTCAGTCAATAGTTTATTTCGGAAAAGATTTCCATACAACAAAACGTATAAAGTATAATACATATACAACATGTGTGTAACGTCCCTATTATCAGCAAATATTAGGTCACCCTTATGAAATTATGGTTTTAAATGAAATACCTTTCCTGCTTCTGTGCAGACAGTAGATAATGTACTGCTAGAATAACAACTCCAAAGGATAATATTTCCAAGAAGGGTAACATAGGTGAATTTAAGTAATAGAATATCTGGTAAACTTGAATTGTTGACTGCTTCGACATTGTTACTAATATGATGGAGAATTCCAAGAATATCATATGCGTTATCTGCCTGCCTTTTAGTATTTTGCCTTGAAAAAGTTGATGGTATTCCAAAGAATAATTTAATAGTTCAATGAAAATGCCCATTATGAATCCATGAGGTATAATTAATTCAATTACCTTGTTAAATATTGTTTTTTCATTAACTGATTATCTGAATTCTTGATCTCAATCAATGATTTACTTTTTTATTTGTATTCTTCACGCTCTTGCTAAAGTTCACTTGAAAATGTTTTAACATCGTGTCGTATTTCTTTACTTTCTGTCTACCTTCGTTTCTTAGTTAATTATTAATTAATTTCATTGGTTATGACTATTTATTGATTTTTTTATTAATATTAGATGCTCTCAAGAGAGAAACTTGATAATCTAATTTTTTCACAAAAGTCTGCATATTTTTTTTACAAAACTTAAAAGGCAGCAAACATTGTCTTTTGTACATTATGTTGATAGTGGAGCGTTAAGATGTTTGCCTCCCAATCCCATATGGTCCTGGGTTCAATTCCTGTAACAGTAACATGATTTTTGTTCACGACCACAACAACTCCATTCCCTAAGCCTCATATTGAGACTTGGTCTATGTAATGTAAGGCATCTAGTGTGTGTGAGGGGATTTCCACTTTAAAAAGTGACAAACACACTGGCATATCCTAGGCTCTAATGCCTAAAGCTGAATAAAAAACAAAAGTTCCCTGAAAAAAAACATAGAATTGAATGGAATGAACAAAGTAAATTTATGTTGTAAGATAATAAATTTGTTATGGACAGACAACTCCATCAGTGATTGATATACAAGCGCTGGAAAAAGTATTGTCGCTATAAGATTATATAAGTTCTAAAACTCACCCCATTGCTCTTGCTACTACAAGTTGAACTTGCGGTTCTCGCTTTGACCTATTGATGATGTCATGAACTTCGCTGAAATCCTTGCCCTGGAGGGGCTGTCCATTCCACTCCAATACTTCATCACCTTTTCAAAGAAATATTTTATTGCAAAATCATTTGGTCATTATAAGTCATTTTGCGAAGTGGTTAGCAGTAGCAGTTGTAATTTGTCCTCTCAACCAATCTCCATCCACATTATCAAATATTTTGTGACAAACATGGTATCTGTGATTTGCTCATAATTGGGAATGACGTCATATGACACCCTTATAGATTTGTCATATAAAACTTGATAATGTGGATGTAACCTTAAAGAATATGATCAAAATACTTTACCTTCTTTCAACTGCCCAACTGTATCAGCTATGCTTCCTTGTCTAATCTTTGAAATAAGGGGACCTAACTTTCCCCGGTCCTTGCCAACTTTCAACCCCAAAATAGCACTAGAATCTTCCTTTAAACTCCCATCTGATTGGCTCTTTTTTAAGATCATTCGGCCAATAAGGCGATTATTATCCATATCACGCTGCCAAGTAACAGGGTGCTAAAAAATTAACAATATTTAAGTTAAACAAACAAAATAAATAAATTTAAAAAAATACAAATATTAGAAATAGCATTATAATAAATAATAATAAATACAAATATTATAAATAGCATTAATATAAATATCAACATTATAGCATGATATTAATCATCACAGCCTTTTAAGTAAGAACAACAACCTATTCTTTTTTTTTCTTACTGAAAACTTACATATGTTGAAATTAAGTTTTATCCATGAATAGAGAGATTATTTACTAACTAGTTAGACCAAAATTACATTATCAAAACTCGAATAGTGATAGTGTGGTGCACAGAAATGAAAAGTTAGATAATGCAGCATTAGATACAGTTAAAGATAATGTATAAAACATGATTGTATGTGAAAGAAAGATAGCACTTATGTTCTATGTAATTCAATTTTTTATTCATCTCATTTAGGTAAATTAGAAAACAGGACTATATATTATGCACATGAAAACAATAAAATAATAATATACAATCAATTCTCTGCAAATGAAACACAGAATGACACTGGGTACATGTAGCAGACAATTATGAACTGCAGCATTGGGATTTTTTGTGGCACGCAAGCAATTTATGATCACCCACACAATAGCATTATATTGCACGTATATTAAGCATTTGGTAATGTGGCATGTAAGGACTGCACACAAATTATATCTTTTGGTAATGTGGCGAGTGGGCATTCACACACATTTATAGCATGTGGCGGGTAAACATTGCACACACATTATAGAATATGATAATGTGGCATAGTGTTCACACACATAGCATTTGGTAATGTGGCTGGTAAGGACTGCACACAAATTATATCATTTAGTAATATTATGACAAGTAGGCATTCACACACATTATAGCATGTAGCAGGTAAGCATTGCACACACTTTATAGAATGTGGTAATTGTGGCATGTAAGCATTCATACACATAGCATTTGGTAATGTGTGGCTAGTAAACCACTTCACACATGTTAAAGCATTTGGTAATGTGGCTGGTAAGCACTGTATATACATTATACTGTAGCATTTAGTAATGTGGTGGATAAATATTGTGCACACGATCCAGCAATTGGTAATGGTGTAAGTTAAATGTGCTTGCACTCTAGAATTAGGTTGAGTATGGAATATATTAAGTATTGTGATAGGTAATTGGCAATTTGTATTTCTATGGCAGCTGAACTTACATTATGTAGCATTGGGTACTGTGGAGTAATCATTTAACTCATATTTATGTTTGTATTCTTGTGGCAGTTAATTATTGAACTTACATTGGGTATTATTATTATTATCATTATGGTTATGGCATGTAATTATTAAATTCACATTATATGCTTATTATGGTAGCTACTCATTGTACTTATAATTTTGAGTGACAGTTCCAATTATTCACTTTGGATTATTCTCAGTTTAATTTAAGCATCAACAAAATGGACTCTCAGTCTCATTTTCAGAAATCATTTATCAATGAGATGTCACATGTTACCTCTCATCAATAGAAAATGCTATACACAATTATTGATATCAATGTTCAAATTTTCCACTTGATTTGGATGATACTTGCAGGCTCTGCTGACATAACATGTGACAACTCGGGACTCTTACTTATTAATATGAGGAAACATGCAGTGGCGTATCTAGGGTTTGCGTGGGGTTTGGATGCGCACACCCCCAAAAAAATGCTCACGCCCTCCTCCCCCTCACAAAATCACACTCAAGAAATTAAAAATCACCCAAGATTACATTATTTTTTGAGAGGTAGCGCCTCGCACCTAATCATTGAGTCCACCCTCATGACCTTTGCACTCCCCCAGCCCCCCGCCCCTCATTCAATGCTCGTAGATAAGCCAATGGAAACATGAGGACACATCACAAATTTGCATTTTCTATGAACTTATGCAAATGAAAATGAATACAAGGATGTCTGAATATTAAGTATGACAGGCAAACATTTATATGAATAAACTAAAGGAATAAAGAATTAAATCTTAGATCTATAATCTGATTGACTGACAGATCAATAGCTGGAACATACAGTGAGTTGGTGTCATTCAATATACTTTTCCAGTTTTAATTGTTTTTTACTAGTCTATGTTTTCTTTTTACATTTCTGGTTTTCACTTTGTTCTAATTTAATAATATACTTATTCTAATCTAAATATATTTGTAATTTCATTGTATAATGTTGCCTATTTTAATATGCTATCATCTTTTTATGAATAAAGCTTAATGAACAAATGTAAATCTGAAAATAGGCATTAAAATATTATATGTACAGTAGTAGTTGTAGTACAGTATTTCAAATGATTCCAAAGCATTTCATTATTTCATTTACTTGTAGTGAATGAATGATGGATGAATAATCAATAAGTCTCTGAATGATTATTAAATGATGAACAGAATATTACATACACAAATTAACAGCAAAAGGTATAATCATAATTGATGTAGGAACATTTTTAAACACATCAACATATTAACACAGGTTTAACAAAAAATAATAGTTTAGAAATTAAGTAAATTTACAAATTTTTATTTCAAAGATATTTTTAATACTATTAATAACAATTATTAATTTAAATATGCAATATTATGTGTAGGCTTTGAACACAATGCAAGTCTTATAACCAACTGTTGTGAATTTGATTGTGTTATTGATGCTGATATATAATTATTCTCCATACAGGATGTTATTAAAACTTCTATTTGTGTCTTTAATATACTGGTATAATAATGAATCAATAACAAATATTAATTATCCATCAAAATAGATTGTATGCGAAGGTGGGTGGATGACGATCTTTACAGTGACTTGGTTCACATTTCAGACCTTGTTTGACCACACAATTAAAAGATAGTTATAAATATTTCCGTAAGATCATTTTCAAAAAATCAGGAACATCTTAAAATAAAGGAGAGTGAATAAACAGTATTTGGTTTGAACAAAACAAATGTGTAGGTGAAGATGAACAAAAATAAAGTGTAGGTAACAAAAGAAATTAAAGTTGAAATAAAGGATGACTAAATAAAAAAAAAATAAATGAATGAAATAACATCAGAAAAGCAAAATTCTCCTTTGTATTGATCCGTTGGTAAATGAGAACAAAAAAGAGGACAAAACATTTACTGTACACAAACATTCATCTACAGACAACTGTGTGGTAAAGCGTTAGACCTAAGATGTTTAATGCGATGCCAAGCAACATAGCAAGCAAGTGACATGTTTCAGTTGATGATCTCATAAATCATGCAGAGCGGGATATGTGGGTAAATTATGCTATGTGCCTATAACAAGTGCCTCTAGAGAGTTACAGCATCACATGTGTAACACAAACAAGGTATGATTCATGTGGAGGTTGTTAGGGGTGTGTTTGTGTGCTAACCTTCAGTGGGTAGTGATCGTCGTACAAAGTCGTACTGCTGCTTGTGTCCACCCCCGAATCTTTGATCTGTGGTTCAGACCACTCCCCATCTTCCTCCAGGGACTGCCCTTTGCCCCGACCAAAACGCAGAGGTCGCATTTTGTTCGAACCGATTTCGGTCTCAGAGAGGTGGCCGGGTGCGCCACGAGGTTTGTTGCGGTAACTCTCTAGATCACCTAGGACAAGAGACACAAAACAATTGAAAAGGTTAGAAAAAAAGACCGACAACGACAGAGGAAGATAGTGACTCTCACCGTAACATTAGTCTTTTGTTCTGAACTATGTGATTGCCAGTTGTCCTCTATTGAATCCACTTCACCTATTGTGTGTACATGTATTTAAGAATATACCATAACAGCAATCATGAGAATAACAAAAACATAATAAAAAAAAATACATAATAGTAAAAGCCAGCATTATAGTAATAAATATAATAGTATTTATATAATTTATAAATAAGTTTTGTTCATCTTGTTGGTTTCTTGTAATTTTGTACCCACTTTATAAAATTTAAATATATTAATGACATTTAAATATATTAATGATATTTAATGATGATGAAGCTTTCGAAATGAAATGCTACCGACGGCTCTTGAGAGTGCTGTATACAGCTCACAGAACCAATGAGTCGGTGAGAGCAGAGGTAACTACAGCTATTGGAGAACATATACACCTGCTCGATACAGTGAGAAAACGTACTCTCCTGGTTTAGCCATGTTAAAAGAGCAAAACAGACTTTCCCTCACACCATCCTCCAAGGCTCCGTTGAAGGCAAAAGAAGGAGAGGACTACCTGGCAGCACAACATCAGGAAATGGTTAGGTCTGTCACACTGTCAACTCCTAGATATAGCCAGGGACCGACAGGCATGGAGGAATCTGGTGCATTGTTCCTCAGCATATACGCCCCTACGATTTACTGTACCAGGTCACGGGACAACTAGTACTAAAACTAGAATGATGGTCAACTAAATTAAAACATTGGGCAGTGTATAATATAATCCACCCACTCACAATCATACTGTAGTCACTTTTCTTAGTACTCATTATAATGTTGCTTTGATTTGCTTTTTATATTAAAATTTGATTGTTTTTTTATTATCATCAATATGTTAACTGATAAATTACAAAATGGCCTGAATAAAGCATGCTTGCTTGATAAAAGAAGGTCAGTATTAGGCTAAAAGGTCAGACTTTAAATGCTAAAAAATCAAGGTATTTTAATTTGATTTATTACATCTCTTTAGTACTCTTATTTATCTTTCCTAATTGTCACTAATTGACATTATTATTGTGGATTTTTAGACTTTTTACTACGCCACTTTAATTTTCCTTGTATGGGTTGGGCAGTAGCAATTACTCGCTGTGGGGTAAGAGGCATTGTGTAGGGTTGTAGTGCATTAATTATCTGCAAAGGAAGTCACATAAGAACTGAAAACTAAATAGGATAACATACAATAGAAAAGAAAACTACCCAAAAATGTCCCTCTTTGTATAAGTAAGTTTAATTTGATTGGTAACAAATTGTTTTGGCCAATTAATGTACTTGTACATATAAATAATAACATTAAAATTTTCAATATTGTCCAATAATCAGTTGAAAAATATTTCTAAGAGTAGTTAAAAGCCTTACATGTTATCTGTTTTATCATACTTTCCAACAAGCGACTTTTGTGAAGAAGTGCCGCTCACAAATAATTGCAGTACCAACCATTATTTTTGTCGCTAAGCGACAAATATACATATGATGACATTCTACATAGACTAGGCTTTTAGTCTCAGGGATTGGAGTTATTTGTGGTTGTGAAGTCATTTAGAGGACTTGAGCACAGGGCTCCGGGAACATTGGTAGGTTGGTATCTTAACCATTTAGCTACAGCTCCACTCATATACTTATTAACAAAGCAGACACTTACCTTTTTCACTAACACTCTCACTTTCAACATCGTCACAACTGGTACATTCAGGTGTTGAGCGTATTTCCTCCTCTGAACTACTTGGGGATGAAGTTTGTCGTGGTTTGCGCATAGCTTTAGTCTTCTTATGTGGCTTCGGCGGTGGCGGTCGAACATGTTCACTTTGGTCTGAACTGAGTGAGTCATTGCGTATCATACATTCCTTCTGTTTATTGCTGGACTTTGCTGCTGAACTCGGGTCTAAATGCTGCTTAGGTACATTGTCATTACTGCGTTCCTGCGCTTCAATGGAATTCTGAATATCTATGACGGGGTCAATGGTGCTGGGATGTTGTGGAGAGGGTGGCAGTCTAGATAATGATGATCTATAATTTCCCCCATCAGCTGCCGAAGCAGGTTTAGGTGGGTGTCGCTCCACATATTTCTTGCGATCCGGAGCTGGGGATCGCGGAATTCCAACAGGTGTTCTTTCACGAGGTTGGTGTCCAGGTGGGTGTTGCCCTTTTTCTGAAGGAGCGGGAGGGCCATGGCGTTCTCCACGATGAGGACCTATTCGGCCCCTCTCTTCATTCCTATCATTGATTGGAGTTATATTCCCTGGGCCAGGGTACCTATGATCCCTATGACCACGTATTCGTTGCTGGTTTTGATATGGCAGCTGTTCGGGAAACTGCTCATCAGGAAACCTATCATCGTGAAAATTTCCTCGACTAAAATATCCATCCTGATCGGAATGCTGCCTAGACTCTGGATAGGTCATTCTGTCAGTGTGACGTTCAAAATTGTCACTACCGCGTTCGTTTCCACGCTTATCTTTTTCCGGATATCTTTCCTTATTTGCAGGGTAACGATCACTATCCAAATAATGTTCTTTTTCTTGATATCGTTCTACATGCGAAATATCTCCCAAAGAGTCATAGCGGCGATCTCCTGGTTTACCCCGGACACCACGGGAGTCTCGCCGAGGATTTTGCTGCATATCGTCATCATTTGACATAGAATACTGACGGTGAATTTGAGAAATTAATGACCCTGTGCGGGTTACTGCTGAGTGGCTGGCCTGTCCACTGCTAGGAACGTTCTCTTTATCGGATGAGGTTGCCCTTGTATTGTCCTGAAGTCTCTGTTTTTTCTCCTGAGGAGGTTCACCCTCCTTGCGAGGTTTTGTTGTCACACCATCAACAGTTTTCTCTAACGGTGGCGTTTTTGTTGGTGGAGTTTGAAACCACTGACCAGTTTTTGTTAGCAACGTTTGCTTCTTACGACAAATGTTACAAACCCATAGCACCTATAAGAACAGAAAAGAAACATAATTTGTTAATATATTATCCATGTTCTATTATAAGACGATCCACATTAATTTGATCTACATAAAAAAACCATTCTGAGAACAATTTCATATGATTGGCATATTCAGACATCACCTAATATAAAAGAACTTAATTTATAGCATTTCAGACTGAAAACGAAGAATATTTTGAGAGAACAAATTAACAAACACATGCTTCACCTCTCAATTTTGGTCTCAAATACTTTAAAGCCAATAATTCAGCAATAATTCATTCACTTTGCACTCACTAACATATCACAAACATAACAAAGACGGAAACTACATTTAAAAATTAAGGTAAACATTTAAAGGGTAAGAGTAACAAGCAAAACATTGTAGCTCACTGGCATGTTAATCCATCCTTGAAAAATGAGAACAGTTACATTTTGAATTTTATACAGCAATAAAAATTCATAACTGCAGAGGAATTTGACCAAGAAGGAAAGAAACTTTTTTAAATCTGGGTCTTTGAACTTGGCAATTATTTGGCAAAAAGGAGCAAATCAATGCCTTTTAATCAAAATATTTCCCACCTGTTACAGTAACGCTGACAATTTATCATTAAACTTTGTTTTAGTAACATAGAATATTTGATCAATGGTAACTTCTTCAATGCAAATATGTACAGTATTATTTCTATATTAAATACCTATTGGTAAAAATCATCTGGAATAACCACATTTTACTTGCCTGGAAGTAAGTAGGCTCTTTACAAAATGTTTTATTAACAGATTTAACTTCTATTTCTAAGATGATCCCTGCAAAAGCCTCAATCTTAGTTTTTTTGACAGTCAAATGTGCAAATAGTATGTTTCTACTTATGTTTATATGGATACATTTGCATATTTTTCTATATTCAAGAAAATAAAAAAAAAACAAAAAAAAACAAAAACAGTGAAGCTTAAAGACATACTACTTTATGTTAGAAAAATGCAATTCTAAAATAAATTAATTTAAAAATTAAATTGTTTACTTTATATACACTATGAAAATTTCAAATGAAATTTAAAACTACAAAATATTTTCCTTGCCAAGCAACAGAAGCAGAAATAATTTTCATATAGTCTTTGCATATATACCCTTTAGCTGATGATAAATTCAAGTTAGAAAAATTAATTTTTCTTTTTAAACAATTTTACTTTTTAATTAATATAACTTTTTCATTTTTTTATTTAAAACATTTTTACCCAGGATACATTTTCAGGCAGATGCTAATACCTGTTTTAACAATGGTCCTGCATAATAATTACAATTAAAATGAAGACAGTCCACATATTAATATACAATTAAGGTAATACAGAAAAATATTAAGGATTTTAAAAATTTATGAATCAAACAAACTCCAAAAATACATTTTTTTCCCTAGATTTTTCCACAGAAAGTATTATTTTGATAAAACAGCTTAATGTGGCATAATGTATCACTTTGATCCTATGGTTGAGTCTACCTCAAGCAAATTTACACTGGTTTCTCCTAATGCACAATTCTATAGTTTGACTATTGAATTATTACAAGTAAGCAATTAAAGATGTACCAAGATCAATAAATGAGAACTCAATTCACTAGATCATGCTATTCCTATTCAGGTCAAGGGTTACAATTTGCATATTCAGGATGGAAGAATTACATCACCTTATATTGATGACCACAAATTTAATTTGTCAAGTATATATGAAAACAACTCAACTTAACTTTATAATCATTAGTCTGGTATTATTTTATATTTTGTAATGATTGATTAATTTCAAATGGTATCAATCATATTCAGGATGGAAGAATTATATCACCTTATATGGATGAACACAAATTTAATTTGTCAAGTAAATAAAAACAACTCAACTTAACTTTATAATCATTAGTATGGTATTATTTTTCATTTTGTAATGATTGATAAATTTCAAACAGTATCTAAAAAATAAAAAATTCCTGGATGATGAATCTTTGGTAGCATTTTACATTCTTTATGTGACTAATTTTAAAACATGTTTGGTGTAAATCTTTAAAACACTAAGGAACTGATATACTTAAGAAATTCCTAAGCCAAAAAGTTCTTGTGACATTTATAAAATATATTACTAATCAACAGTAATGATAATTAATAATATCACGCCACAAAACATAAATTTAATTACATTAAGTAAAATTGCATTTAAGAACAGGGCTACTTAATACCTGAAGATATTCCCATTCTCTTAAGTTTTAAGTTATAGGAATTCCAGAAATTGAAACAGACGGATTGGAAAAATAATATGACGATGATGAAGCCGAAAGCACATTATGATAACTGATGCAGAGAGCATGATCAGATTATCCTACCTCACTGGAGCATACACCGAGTCACAACTTGCCTATCACTCTAAACATAACCACGCTTCGGTACATGTACATCACGTTCCAACGCATAATCACTTCAAAGTTTGGCCTAGCTGGCCATAATTCTCATTTCTTACCACACAATTTCACTGAATGGTGATGCCTTTCAACGAGCATAATATTCCAAACCTGTCTCTTATACACATCTGGTAAGTATGTTTATAATAATATAGTTAATATACTCCTAGGTTACTAATGAGGAATAAGAGAAACATAACTATTTTTTAATTTGGCCTATTATTCCAACAACATTGTCCATTGGCATTACTATTAAACAATACACATTGTAGTGACCTAATTTTACACTCACAGTAATAAAGAGTAGTGAAAGTGTAATTAATTACTGTAATTAGAATTATAATAATATTACAGGAGTGATTTTTTGTCCTACTAGTATTATAATGTCATATGATCATTAGTTATTTTTATCATCATTACTACTACTATGTAGGCAGGCTACTATTAAGTATCAAATCAATAAGAAAATCATTATATTTAAATACCAATATGATACCATAGTATTTAAATTATTTATTGAATTTCACAATAAAAAAATATAGTGATAGGAATGCTTGGATGACAAGCACCTCTTTTTTATCATCTGTCAGGGATTTATTTAGTTAAATAAATGAAATTATATCATTATTATCACATCAAATGGATAATATGATGATCAACCACTCTGAGTTCTATAAAAAAAATTATTTAAATAAATATTTTAATTTTAAGAAGATGTTTTAATCTCACAGCTACATAACAGTTTGTACCGTTCCCCCAGGTACACTCACTAATAACAAAAATCCCTCAGCTAACATTCCCACCTAAATTTCCTATCATACCCTTCCTATGAACACCTTGTTGATACTCCTACAGATGTAATTTCTTAGTCCTCAGCATAGTTTCTAATGGAGAGAGAATGGGAAGGGGGGTGGTATCTGTTACCGAATATCCAATTACGTCTTTACAAGATTATGTTCCAATCAAAGTTATTTGGGATTTGATCAGTTAAGTGAAAACTTTCATTAAAACAACAAAGCATCTTCGAAATGCTGCGTCGTCTTCTCAAATTTCAAACCAAAGTTGATCAGTAACTGATCCTACAATTGAAATCTTTATATTTTTTCATTTTAAGAAGACTTTTATTTGGCATTTACGGGGCGGATCCAGAGATGTAAGAAACAGGATCCAAAAGGGGGGCCGAAAGTGGGGCTGATCGGGATAACACTAACCTAGGGGGTACGCAGAATGCCCCGCAAAATTGTTGTGTTCTAGACGCCGGAAAATAACATCCGAGGCGTTTTGGGCCATCAAGTTTTTCTTTTTCTTTCTTTCTATTTTCCCCCCCCCCCTAAATCCGCCCCTGATTTACTCTCACTGACCATAACCAGATTTTACTAGATTCCAATGCAACATAGTGTAATTTAAATCCACATGTTCAATACATACATAGTATACAAATGAAATAAGTATATATATAGGCCTAAACTAAAATAAGATGATGTAGTATATTGATTGTACTGTACAAAATATGAGCTATGTACACAGTGGCAGATTCGGGGGGGGAGGGGGGACAAACCAAATTTGTGAAAAAATATAACTAAAATGTCCGAAAGGAAAGGAAAATTTTAATTAAATTTAGGTCTGAGAGTACTATTTCCGGTTATTTGGACGTGCCAAAATCATAAATTTTCTTATCTCAGCCCCAACCACACAGTATATACTGTACTACACCCAGAGAATTATTTTGCATTGCAGTATAATTTCACAAACCTGGGTATAGTTGAAAATTTTACCCTAGTAATCTTTCACTAGGAAGTACAATTTCACACACTACCATTCTCTGAAAATATACAGAATGTATGTAGAACGATTTCTTCACAATGTCAAAAACCAGGATTGATCACTAATTGTAGTACAATTTTATGAAATTTAATGCACTACAATTTCATGAACTATAAAGTAGTACAAGTTCATTAAACTATTGTGCAACTAGTTCACTACTGTAGTACGCTGATTATAAATCTGTATTGTACAATGCTGTTAACTCTAAATGTTGTTATAATTTTACTAACTATAGTTGAGTAAACTTAATACATTATTATTAATTTAACAAATGAAATGCAATTCAATTTTGCTAACTGTATCACAAACTATGAAGTAAATACAGTATAATGAAAAATAGCATAACCAGTTGTTATGTAGTAAAATATTATTAGTACAACAAACATTTTCCTGACAACATAATGCATGAAAATGTTGCAGTATAATTTAACCAAAGTATGGAAATGAAGTAACATTTAACCATGCTGTAAAACCAAGTCCAAGTCTGCAGTAGAATTTAATTAACTTTTATGCAGTACAATTTAAACAAAGTCTGAAATTACAGTACAATTTAGCCAAATGTTATCCCATAAAACTTAACCAAAAAGTTCAAGACTGCAGTACAATTTCACCAACAGAAATAACTTCTTCCAATCATCAAGCACTATTTAATATCACAAGTAATTAGATTTGCTATGACGATTTTCTTTATAAATTAGATTTTGTAGGATGTTAGGCCTCCCCCGAGATTGGCTACGATGAGC